AGTGCAGGAATCCAGGTGGTTGGGGATGATCTCACAGTGACCAACCCGAAGAGGATTGCCAAGGCTGCAAATGAGAAGTCCTGCAACTGCCTCCTGCTCAAAGTGAACCAGATTGGCTCCGTGACCGAGTCCCTGCAGGCGTGAGTGTCTTCCCGGCCAGCAGCTTGCCCACAGCTGTAGCTTGTGAATCAGAAAAAGGGCCCTTTTGTTCCAGTGATGGGGAATCCTGCTGGCCAGAATGTAGGGCACCCTGGAATTTCAACAGGTTTCATGTTTGAACTCAGGAGCCTTTTTAATTGAAAAGTTGGGGCCTCCCAACATTTTGGGAGGCCAAGGCAGGAGGAGCTCAGGAGTTCAAGACCAGCCCGGGCAAAATAGCAACTCTACAAACCAATAAAAAAAAAAATGAGCCACAGCCGGGCACGGTGGCTCACACCTGTAATCCCAGCACTTTTGGAGGCCAAGACGGGTGGATTATGAGGTCAGGAGTTCGAGACCAACCTGGCCAACATGGTGAAAGCCCCATCTCTACTAAAAATATAAAGATTAACCAGGCGCAGTGGCACACACCTTTAGTCCCAGCTACTCGGAAGGCTGAGGCAGGAGAATCACTTGAACCCAGGAAATAGAGGTTACAGTGAGCCGAGATTGTGCCACTATACTCCAGCCTGGGTGACAGAGTGAGACTCCATCTCAAAAAAATGAGCTGGAAGTGATGGCATTTTCCAGTAGTCCCAGCTACTCAGGAGGCTAAGGCGGGAGGATTGACTGAGTCCAGGGGTTTGAGGCTGCAGTGAGTTGTGATTGCACCCCTGCTCTCCATCCTGGGTGGCAGAGCAAGACCCTGGCTCTAAAGTAAATACGCCGGGCACGGTGGCTCAAGCCTATAGTCCCAGCACTTTGGAAGGCTGAGGCAGGTGGATCGCTTACACCCAGGAGTTTGACACCACACTGGGCAACATAGTGAGAGTCTCTGTTTTTTAAATTAATGAGTTAAGCGGCCTGGGGTGTTGAGCACTGATGGCCTATTCCTAATTCCTTGTGGCTCTTGACACGTGCCTTCATTTTACGTGGAGATGGTGGTTGAGCAGATGTACCTGTGAGGGGCTCTGTTAGGGATCACTAGTCTTTCCCCGTCAAGGGAGGCTGAACCCAGTGTTTGAACCATGACAAGCAGGCTGAGAAGGTCCTGGGGGTGGAAGAGTTCAGAGGAGGGTGACGATTGTCCTCTGCTCTTGACAAGCCCAGGCATGGAGAGCTTTAGCCACTATCGGCCCTGCCGCTGCTCTCCTGCCGGCACTGAGGAATAATGGCATTGGGGTTTGTGGCACCAGAAAATGCGCTCGTGCCATCTGGGTTGTCTCTTGGCTTCCAGGTGCAAGTTGGCTCAGGCCAATGGTTGGGGCGTCATGGTGTCTCATCGTTCCGGGGAGACTGAAGATACCTTCATCGCCGACCTGGTGGTGGGGCTGTGCACTGGGCAGGTGAGAATGAGCGTCTCCTTTCTTCTCTCTGACCTCAGCTTCCTAGGAATACCCAAAACCAGTGCCGCTCCGTGTCTGTCCTGTTTTTGCTCATCTCCCCTGAGTCACTGCCCTGGTTTTGGAGCCTGAACAGAACAGGGCCATGAGTGCCCTTCCTGTGTGATATGGACCCTCTTTCCTAGGGTCTCAGACATCATACCCTCTCCCTGCCAGAAATGCCTGTAAAGCCCGTCTGTCCGCTATAAGCGAATGGCCTTTGTTTTCTCCTAGATCAAGACTGGTGCCCCTTGCCGATCTGAGCGCTTGGCCAAGTACAACCAGCTCCTCAGGTAAGGGGGGGCTCCTGAGAACAGGGGCCTGCACTCAGAGGAGGCACTGCCTTTCCCCAGGGGCTTCTGGCTCTGGGAACATGTACGGGTACAGACAGCCAGGCCCAGATCAGGCTTAGGTCCAGGCAGAGTTAGGCATAGACCCGGCACCCGCCCAGTGCCACCAGAGCCTGTTCCGCACAGTGCTGTCCTCTTCTGGTGAGGGAGGATGGGACCGCCTTCAACAGTTGAGCCATGACTTTACAGCTTTCAGAGTTCCTTCATATGATCTGTTTCACTTAACCCCTCTTTTGTGGATGTGGAGCCAGGACTTGGAGGGAGAAAGAAGCAGCCAAAGGACACATGGCTGAGTTCACTCATCAGCGCTGCGGGGGTGGTTCTGGCCTGCCCTTCCTATCTGTCCTTGGAAAGCCCCTGAACACGGGGAGACTTGCCCCCTTTTTCAGTTATTATTTCCTGGACTTGTAGGGAAACGGGACACCCATTCCTGAGTACTTCCTAATTACCCCTTCATTAAAACTGAATCCTGGGAATTTTCAGACATCCACAAAAAAGCAGGTGAACAGTAGGCATGGGCCTTTTTTGTTGTTTTGTTTGTTTGAGACAGGGTCTAATATCAAGATTCAAGCAGCACACACATTTTCACTATTTCTGGAGTCTCAGAGCAGCACAGTGTAGAGGGTTTAAGAAGGTGGACGAACTGGAGAGTTCCGGGTTCTCAGCTTCACAGGAGAAGTGGGGCTGTGTCTTTGACATCTGGGATGGGAAAACTTACAACTTGAAGACTGACTTTTCTTTTTTCCTCCCCATCTCATCTAAGAATTGAAGAGGAGCTGGGCAGCAAGGCTAAGTTTGCTGGCAGGAACTTCAGAAACCCCATGGCCAAGTAAGCGGTGGGCAGGCCAGCCCTTCAGTCGCCTGTTGGCTGATTAGACTCCCCCCCTCGTGTCAGCTCGGGCAGCTCCAGGCCCCCCGACCAACACTTGCAGGGGCCCCTGCTAGTTAGCTCCCCTCGCCCACCACCGTGGGGTTCGCACTGCTTCCTTAGAACTTCTACAGAAGCCCAGCTCCCCGGAGCCCTCATGGCAGCCCTAGCTTCACAGTCGTGTAATTGGCCCAAATCGTGGTTTTTCTCGCCTCACTTTCCACCAAGTGTCTGGAGCAATATGAACCTCCAGTGTCCTCTCCGGGGTGGCCACAGGCAAGATCCCCAGTGGTTTTGTGCTCAAAATAAAAGCCATCAGTGAACCATGAGAATACCCTGTTTTGTGTGGCCGTGTGTATTTGGGACAGTCTGGGTCTTGTCCTTAGTGTTCAGGGGGTCTGCCGATAGGGTGTCAGCCTTTGAGAACTCCGTTGAGAACATTTTCCTGGGTCCTTGGGAAGAGAACTTGAGGCAAATGGAAGAGAGGAGACATGCACTGTCCCACCAGGGTCATGGGGTCACAACAGGGAGTGTAAGCTTTGAGGCAGAGCGAGACTTTTCAGACAACTCATTTGGAAGGAAATTCAAATGCAGGCCTGTGTGTTGATCATCTTAAAGATGGTAGCTACTGGGTTACGTAACCATACTGTTCAGGCCAGAAGGACTGCATGGTAAATGTGACCATCCTGGGAAGCGCTAGGATGAGGATCTCTTCCTGGGGAAAGCAAGTAAAAGAAGGATTAAAAGGGAACTCTGGGCAGGAAGGTAGAAGGGCATCTAGAGGATCTCGGGACCCCATTTAAGTTAATGAATTGCATTCCTTGGTTTCTCACGCGTCAGGTTTCATGTGCTCGGTAGCTGCCATTTGTAGCTGATGCCCACTGCATCGGATTATGCAGATAGAAAACTTGAAAGTACTGTTCTAGGGTAATGCTAAATACAGGGTGTGAGGTATACATTTATTTAGAAGTGAGAGATGAGGCCAGGTATGGTGGCTCACACCTATAATTCCAGCACTTGGGGAGGCCAGGGTGGGCAGATCACCTGAGGTCAGAAGATCAAGACCAGCCTGGCCAATATGGCAAAACCCCGCCTTTACTAAAAATATAAAAATTATCTGGGTGTGGTTACATGCACCTGTAATCCCAGCTACTCAGGAGGCTGAGGCATGAGAATGGCTTAAACCCAAGATGCGGAGGTTGCAGTGAGCCAAGATCATGCTGTTACACTTGGCAGCAGAGCAAGACTCCATCTCAAATAAAAATAAGTAATAAAAGTGAGAGATGAGAAACTGGTTGCCATATGCCCCTTGAAGAAGTCTCATATTCTATTTGATTTTCTCCCTAAAATCAGTATCTTGAGTTGTGCTTTCCAGTGCACGGTCAGGGAGCTGGGGAGCCCTCTTGTGGACATTCTTGTTCATTGTTTATTTCAGGATTTAACCTGAGAAGCAGAACCAGAAAGAAGGAAAGGTACAGATACTAAGAATTGGTGGCCAGGCGCAGTGGTTCATGCCTGTAAACCCAACACAGGCTGAGGCAGGAGGATTGCTTGAGCTCAGGAGTTAAAGATAGGCGTGTGCAACATGGCAAGTCCCTGTCTCTACAAAAAACAAGTTAGCTGGGCACGGTGGCACACCTATGGTCCCAGCTATTCAGAAGGCTGAGGCTGGAGGATTGCTTGAGCCCAGGAGGTTAGGGCTGCCGTGAGCCAAGGTCACACCACTGCATTCCAGCCTGGGTGACAGAGTGAGACTCTTTCTCAAAAATAATAGGATTCTGTGATTGTGGGGCCTGAGTAAACACGTCTGAAATTCACAGGACTGCCAGTGGGACGGGGTGACGGCGAGCAGCAGGCTGGAACCCCGGGGGCCTGAGTGAAGCTGCCATTTCACAGGGGAAATTTCTTTCGAAACCTTGGCTTTTGAGTCTGCCTCACTGGCCGGGCGTGGTGGCTCACACCTATAATCTCAGTACTTCCTCGGAAGCCGAGTTGGGCGGATCATCTGAGGTCAGGAGTTTGTGACCGGCCTGACCAAGATGGCAAAACCCAGTCTCTACTAAAAACACCAAAAAGTTAGCTGGGAATGGTGTTATGTACCTATAATCCCACCTACTTGGGAGGCTGAGATAAGAGAATTATTGAACCCAGGAGGCAGAGGTTGGAGCACCACTCTATTCCAGCCTGGGTAATGGAGTGAGACTTTTTTTTTTTTTTTTAGACCTTGTTTTTGAGAGTCTCACTGTCTCCCAGGCTGGAGTACAGTGGCGCAATCTTGGCTCACTGCAACCTCTGCCTCCTGGGTTCAAGTGATTCTCCTGTCTCAGCCACCCAAGTAGCTGGGACTACAAGCATGTGCCACCATGCCTGGCTAATTTTTGTATTTTTCGTAGAGACTGGGTTTCACCATGTTAGGCTGGTCTTGACCTCCTGACCTCGTGATCCGCCTGCCTCAGCCTCCCAAAGTGCTGAGATTACAGGCATGAGCCACCACGTCCAGCTGAGACTGTCTAAAAAAAAAAAAATAAACCACCTCGCTTATGGGCTTGGGCAGAACTAGAGTATCTAGGGTAATTCCTTAACATCTACTTACTAGTAGCTTTAATTACCTCTGCAAAATAGTTTTACAGTAATACCTAAATTAATATTTGATTGAATAACTGGGAACTCAAATCAAGTTGACATACTACAAAGCCATCGTGGTTCAGCCCTGTGAGCTCTGCACCCACACACGTTTGCTTAAACTAAACTTCATCTCCAGGTGACGGCAGTAACAAAGTCATTCTAACTTAATGCAGTCATCCCACATAAAACCACAAACACTAACCCTTTCCAGGATTTAATGACCGCTATCTATCTGTGAACTGACTGTGGGGGAAGTAAATCACTGAACTGCGTCTGACAGTTACTGGCGTGTTCTACATCTTGTTTATCTCAACTGTAAGGCAGCAAGTTAACATTAGTATTTTTCAGTTTGGTTTAATGTCAGCATTCCCTGACTGTGACGTAAACCTCATGTATCACTCTTGAGGGTAGATGGCAAACAGGTAGGTAGGATCCCTTCCAGTTGGCACCACCCCAAAAGGCGGCTGATGGACTGGGGTGGAGGCGTTTACATTGCAGGCTAGACTGAGCGTTTTACCACATTGACCCTGGAGACACAGAGGCCCCAAATAAGGAAAGCTGACTGACCAAACTTCCTGACCCAGTAGAAATGAAGTACATTCCTGACGTTGACAGCCGACCAGAAGTGCAGACCTCTGGGGCCTTCCCTGGGTCTGAGGCAGGACAGGCAACATGCAGGCCAAGTTTCAAGAAACCATTCTCAGTGAGACGTTTAAGATAGGCCTGGGGTTAGCCCGGGTAACAGCGAGCACCCGCCTCGGAAAAAAACTATATATTTTTTTATTTTTAATACTTTTTTCTAAGACAGTCTCACTGTTGCCCAGGCTTGAGTGCAGTGGTGTGACCTCAGCTCACTACAACCTCCACCTCCTGGGTTCCAGTGATTCCCGTGCCTTAGCCTCCACCAGAGTAGCTGGGATTATAGGTATGTACCACCAAACCTAGCTAATTTTTTTGTATTTTTAGTAGAGAAGGGGT